TCTATGAAAGATTGCACAGTGAAATGTTCACATGATTTTGTAAAGTTTGTAGATTTTGTATAGTTGTTCAGTTCTGTAATGTTAAGTTTCTGTATTCTGCCTCCAAGTTCTCACACTTAATTGCAGAATTATTAATAAATCTAATCTAATCTAATAAGAACATTCCAGGATCATGAAATTATGAATTTTAAAAGTCCTGATATTTCTGAGATATTCCATGTAGAATAAAGCTGTGTAATACAATGCAATGCAAATGGTGAACACAATGACAATGGGTAAATTCATGAGCACAAAAACTAAGAATAGTGGTGGATTGCAATGCAACCAAAAGATGAGATCACGTTTGCTTTGCTTAACTGAATATTACAATAATCAATGACAAATGTGTAAATCTGAAAATTATTGATCTTTACGAATCATCCTTCACAATCTTTCACTCGAGATCAAAAAAAATATTTCCAAGAAAATAGAAATGGCAAATGAAAAGAAAAAGAATTAGAACCAAAAGAAGAAGAAGAAGAAGAAGAAGAAGGGAGGGATAAGGATGACGACAAAGAAAAAAAGGAAGAAGAAGAATAGTGGGAAGAGGACAACAACGAGAAGAATGACGAAGAAGAAGAATGACGAAGAAGAAGAATGAGGAAGAAGAAGAATGACGAAGAAGAATGACAAAGAAGAAGAATGACAAAGAAGAAGAATGACGAAGAAGAATGACAAAGAAGAAGAAGAAAAAAGAAGAAGAAAAAGGAAGAAGAAAAAGGAAGAAGGAAGAAGAAGGAAGAAGAAGGAGGAAGAAGGAAGAAGAAGAAGGAAGAAGAAGAAGGAAGAAGAAGAAGGAAGAAGAAGAAGGAAGAAGGAAGAAGAAGAAGGAAGAAGGAAGAAGAAGAAGGAAGAAGAAGAAGAAGGAAGAAGAAGAAGGAAGAAGAAGAAAGAAGAAGGAAGAAGAAAGAAGAAGGAAGAAGAAAGAAGAAGGAAGAAGAAGAAGGAAGAAGAAGAAAGAAGAAGAAAGAAGAAGGGAGGAATAAGGATGACGACAAAGAAAAAAAGGAAGAAGAATAGTGGAAAGAGGACAACGACGAGAAGAAATAAGAAGAATGACGAAGAAGAAGAAGGAAGAAGAAGAATGACGAAGAAGAATGACGAAGAAGAAGAAGGAAGAAGAAGAACGAAGAAGAAGAACGAAGAAGAAGGACGAAGAAGAAGAACGAAGAAGAAGGAAGAAGAAGAAGGAAGAAGAAGAAGGAAGAAGAAGAAGGAAGAAGGAAGAAGAAGAAGGAAGAAGAAGAAGGAAGAAGAAGAAGGAAGAAGAAGAAGGAAGAAGAAGAAGGAAGAAGAAGAAGGAAGAAGAAGAAGGAAGAAGAAGAAGGAAGAAGAAGGAGAAAGAAGAAGGAGAAAGAAGAAGGAGAAAGAAGAAGGAGAAAGAAGAAGAAGGAAGAAGAAGAAGAAAGAAGAAGGAAGAAGGAAGAAGAAGGAAGAAGAAGAAAGAAGAAGAAAGAAGAGGAAAGAAGAAGAGGAAAGAAGAAGAAGAAGGAGGAGGAGGAGGACGACGACGACTAAGAGGAGAATGAAGAAGAAGAAGAAGAAGAAGAAGAAGAAGAAGAAGAGGAGGAGGAGGAAGAGGAGTATGAGGAAGAGGAGTATGAAGAAGAGGAGGAGGAGGAAGAGGAGAAAGAAAAAGAAGAAGAGGAGGAAGAATAAGAAGAGGAGGAGGAGAAAGAAGAAGAGAGGATGAGGAGAATGAAGAAGAGGAGAAAGAAGAAGAAGAGGAGAATGAAGAAGAAGAAGAAGAAGAGGAGGATGAGGAGAAAGAAGAAGAGGAGGATGAGAATGAAGAAGAAGACGAGGATGAGGAGGATGAAGAAGAAGAAGACGAGGGTGAGGAGAATGAAGAAGAAGAAGACGAGGATGAGGAGAATGAAGAAGACGAGGATGAGGAGAATGAAGAAGAAGAAGACGAGGATGAGGAGAATGAAGAAGAGGAGGAGAATGAATGAAGAGACGGAAGAGGTCGATGACGACGACGAAGAAGAAGAGAGGGAAGAAGAAGAGGAGGAGGAGGAGGAGGAGGAGGAGGAGGAGGAGGAGGACGACGACGAAGACGAGAGGGAAGAGGACGACGACGAAGAGGAGAATGAAGAAGAGGAGGAGAGTACGAAGAAGAGGAGGAGGAGGAGTACGAAGAAGAGGAGGAGGAGGAGGAGGAGGAGTACGAAGAAGAGGAGGAGGAGGAGAATGTAGAAGAGGAGGAAGAGGAGAATGAAGAAGAGGAGGAGGAAGAGGGGAATGAAGAAGAAGAGGAGAAAGAGGAAAATGAAGAAGAAGAAGAACAACAACAACAATACAAGTATTCAATAAGTACCAATGTGCCAAAGCATTTAGCAATAAAAAGTTAAAAAAAGAAATATTATTTGCAAATATTAAAGTTTCACTTTATATCATATGTATTAAAATTAAATATAGCTAACATTGAAAATAAGTTTATTATGAATATTAGAAAAGAAAAATGCTTTAAGCATTTATTGGACATTGTAAAGCATGCGAGCAGTCGTAATGGATTCTTGTATGAATGACTTGTACTGCTATACTGGTTCCACATGAGGTAAATATTTATCTCTCTTACAGTTGATATAGTCAAATCTCAGGATCTATGTCTGAGAAATGGTAAGACTTGACAAGGCAATTAGGAAATGACAAATGATAAATTTAGACCATATTATTAAACATATGGTGATTTGACACATGAAAACATTCCTGCCTTCAGCAGGAATCCAGCCAAAACCTTCAAGCAGAGTGATGGTCATGACAGCCCACTGTGCCATGTAGGTCGGGAAATACACTATGAATGACTTCATAAAAATACTCTGTAGAAGAGAAATCTGTATATGAGATTGTTATTAATTATTAGTTATTAAATTAACTTGTACTCACCGAATACAAAAATCCTCCGAAAGCAGGCCCAATGCTCATTCCCAAGCCAACGAAGGTTTCCAGAATCCCCTGAAAACAATGTGTTTTAATCACGTAACATATCAATGGAAGAGAAAACATTAGAATTATTATTACTTTAGAATTATCAAAAATATAATTTTCATGCACCTTTGTGATATAATGATCACTTCTAATATTTAAACATTTTATATAATTGTTATTACAACTCCTGCTATTCAAATAGAACAAAATGGAGACACATTAATATCTCAAAGAACATTTCTTATACTTCCTGCTCTCAACATAAGAGAAGCCAAACTTGCACACATACCTTATATTATTATTAGTTTAACCAAAAGTAGGACTGTGTCTCCTACTATCATGAAGACAAAAGAAGCAAAGTATAAAAATGGAGTTGAAACAAAGCCATATAATATATTCTCATAATTCTTTCTGTTTAAATAATAATTAGGTAGATGTAATAATAAAAAATGATCAGGGTAATTTGAATAGTAATAACAAAACCAAAGCAATGCAAAACAACACAACATTATCACAAAACTTCATCGAAAATATTTTAGAGCAGAGATTCCTAACAGGAGTGATACAGTCGACCACTGGGTGTAGTAAAAAATGTATGTAATGTAAAAAATATCTTTAACATATAATAAAGGAAGTGAGAAATAGTTACATTTATTTCAATCATTCATATTTATTACTCACATGGGATGCATATAGAAAGGAAGAAACAGGGTACCAATTTTTCCCATAATATTTATGTTTTTGAAACATAATTTTCTCTTAACAAAGGTTGCACCGAAACTATCTTGTGCTCAATAGTTACTATCATATGAACTACTGTTGTTGTCACATCTGTTATCAAGTTATTGACCCTTTATAAACAGAAAATGTCCTAATGGTAGTAACAGTGTGTGTTGTAGTTTAAGGAGCACAAAAACTAGACACGATTGAGGAAAACTAATATTATTTTTGACATCAACGTGGTCAATTCCAGTATAAACCGTTAAAAAAATTTCAACATCATAAACTTTTCTCAAAAATGCAGGCCAATGAAGGAGAGGCAAGTCCTTATCGACCTTAGCATTCCTTTCTTGTCTCTTTTTCTTGTTAGTGTTTGCTAAAAATTTGGAAACTGAAAATAAGGGAATATCTATATTTATAATAATGAAAAAGTTTGGTTTTTCTTTAACAAAATGAAATTCTTATTTGTAAACTGGCATCGTAAGTCAAATTTATTTGCTATGCTACATGAAGTCACGGAGATCAAACAAATTCAAGACCTCATGAATTCCTGGGTGACCGCCTAGGAATCCCGACATCTAATGGTGCTAAGGCAAGCCTGAAGGGAGAAAAGGCACTGACTGACTGCAACGTGACAAGACTTGATAAAAATAAATAGGGAGAATTACTCCAGTGCTGATCGCCCAACAAGAGTTCAGAGACGAATTGCATCAACAAAGATACAACAATATTTTGACAGCGGCCAATGAAAGTACTCTTCCATAAAGATTTCATAGTATATTTGAAACAAAATATGTAGTTACTGAGCATGGTATGTAGTAGCAGTACATGGTACACTGCCTGCATTTGATTGCCAAAAATTCGAATGAATATCAGTGTACATTGCTCAATTATATTATTACAATCATTAAGATCAGAAGCAATTCACTGAACGACCAATTATTTGGTCAGCTTTTTATTGACAATGATGAAGACTACAATTGCATTACGTTGGCTCTCTAAAAAACCTGATTCTATCAGCAAATGACATTGTCTATTCAACAGACCTGTTTAAAATATTTAATGAAGTTAATTTATGATTGTAAGGTGACAAGTTGAATTTCATTAAAACAAATAAGTCACAACTGATTTTACGGGTCAACATTCTATTAAAATGAAATCTAGGTAGAGATGAATACAAACATTTTCCCACACTATCAGTAGCCTCACCAAAACAAGATTTACTTACTAGCAACCCTTAGACTTTCTTCATGCTGATTTTAAGGAGCATTTCCAAGATATTTAAAACGTGAATAAACCGAGTTGGATTTTACATCCTTTCACAAACGCAGACTTTGAGTTCATCAAATTTGGAAGAGAAACTCATAGCACTCGCAAGCATTGAAGAAATAAAAGTAAAATTCATGCATTATACCAAAAGTTTCAGCTACAAAGATCATATTGATCTCTATCCTGGCTTACAAGGAGTAGTGAATTTTGTTTTTGCATTTCCATCATCCTATATGGCTGAGCACGGGTACAGAGCAGTAACTAATTTATTGTCAAAGAAGAGGAACTAACTACACATCCTGATTTGTGATTGATGTTTAAAAAGTGAGACCCCAACATCTACAAATTATCAAAACTCTACCAGCTTCAACAATCTGATTAGTTGTTTTATTTATTAACAATTTTGTGTTTATATTATTATTTTTATTCCTTATTGACCTTTGGTTTATTTTTCAGATTTTAATCAATAATTTTATTGTACATTTGTCTATCATTTTATTAACTTTTACTTTAGGATTTTTAAGAGATTAATAAACAGATTAATTAAGTCCAGCTAATATGCAACCATATTTTGATATTTCATATAAAATTAAATGTTACGGACTATGGGACTTTGGATTTTTTCCTACTATAGGAAGCCATGGTCCAGAAAAGGGTGGGAATCTCTGTTTTAAAGGGTAATGGCGAACAGGTAATGACAGAACAAAACCACAAAATCAGCATTTTATTTTCCTCCAAAATTGTTTGATATAACTTCCTCCAGTGAAATCCTCTGAGTAGTTGGTAAACTAAAAAATTCATATTCTGCTCGTTTAGATAAATTTTCAAATCGTTTATTAAAACCTTGGGTGCTTGCCTTTATACACCTTGTAACACACATTTTCGATGCTTCTTTACACCCAGTAATATTTCCAGGGTATTCTTGGAATAGCAAAATTTTAGCCACTTTTCAAAATAGGCAACAAAAATTAAAATAAAAATGATCGGCCAATTTCTCTGGTGGTTTTCTCAAAATTATTAGAGAGACTTATCTACACATGAATGGAACTTTTCTCAGGAAAAACAAAGTGTTTTCAGACCATCAACTTCGATTTAGAAAATTAAAACCAATCAAATTGATATTTCTTTCTTTCTTAAGATAATGCTTCGTCAATTGATAAAAAGTAACACCTATAGGAATAGTCTGAAGCTCAAGAAAATGTGTGCATATTATACTTATCCCCATTCTTCTTTTACAGTTCCAACTGTTTTTTCAAAGTAAAATAAATCAAATCAAGGGGAGAAAATTGCAGGCAAAAAAAATCAGGAATGTTTTTGACCACTTATATGGCCAGAGCTTGTGTATTAATCTTTCTGGACAGAATGATGCTCATATTTGACTCAAATGTCAACACATCAACCTCCATTGCCAGATCCTTAAGTCCAAAAAGCATCTTTCTTTCTGCCAAGGATGACATGTCTTCTTTATTGTCTTTCTACATCAATGTGGATGTGCATTGCGAGCATTGGGGATCAGCCCATCACTAAACCATAAGGATGGGAGTGGGGTCGCAATAATGGATTTCAAGTGATCATTAACCCATTATTTACAACACTATATTGACACCTTGAAATACACAGAAATGATGGATCCAAACAGTTAATTTTTAGATTTCTCATTTGGGCAGAACCCAGATGAGTATTTACCATTTTTAGGCACATCAACTGCTTTGATCATTAATTGTGTGAGAGTGGCGCAGGTTTAGCTGGGTGGTAACTGTTCCTGGCCTGCTGGAATGTGCAATGTGGTGTTAACTACACGTCAGTTTGCAAGGTTTCCCCATTCAGGTATCTCCTCCAGCAGGGCACCACTCCAACCAGCACAAGTTCTTACCTCCCAGCTGGTCTCCTGGCATGTGGTAGTGTTGTCATGTGTAAATGTCAGTGTATGAGCGATCGAGCGTGAGAGCGAGTGTGTGTGGGCGCACGCGCACAAGGATGTGTAAGGGGAAAGGATGGGATAAGGTTAAGGAAGGAAACATCATTGTCTCTTTGATAGGGTACTGTTCCAGATTGATTGATTGATTAATTGATTTTTTTTTCGGACATATCACTAGCTGTGATCATTAGTCCCTAACTGTACCGCATGTTGTATCTCGAGAGGTGGTGGTGTTCCTGTCACGCTAGAGCGTGAGAACAGGCGTCGAGCTACAAGTTGGCTTGCGTGAATTTCCCCTCTCACGATATGCTCGCTAGCGGGCCCCCGCTCCAGCCGGGCATGCTATATCTAAGCTCCCAACATGTGCGGTAGTGTAGTGTGTATAACCGGAGGGGAGAGGATAAGGATGAAGAAGGAAATATTGCGTTCGGCCCGTGGCCTGTTTGTTACGGTACTGCCCCGGAAGTTGCTTGGTATTGGTCGGATAAACCAAGAAAACCACCTATCAGAGAAACCGGTTGCTACAATTCTCGTCCAGTCAGCGGTATCAAACATCGACTGCCAGTATCGAAAATACGTCCCCGTCGGAATTGGAACTCGAGGACCTCCCGGTCAGGGAAACTGCTGGCAGCGGTTATTGTCCCCGAGTTACCTCAGCTAGTGACATAATTGTCTGCTTCGACCCAGCTGCTTAGCAAGTAGCAAATATCGTCGCATCGCTGAGACTTGAACCTTTTACGCACTGAATTCGTAACTACATACACATATCATAGCTGATTCTGTACAGCACGATTAAACGTTTTTGTTCTGTATTTAGCCTCCTATTCGAGGAAAATCTAATGATCCAGAGGGTTCTCTTTGGAGGAGGTGGAGAATCCAACATCCCAATGTAACAAATTGTCAGAGGCGGCTTCTGAGGCGAAAGAAGGAAGGAACGTCCTCGCTTGAGTTTCTTCGTCTGGATGAAATTACAAAATAAAATATTTGTTTTTATGGACGGAAAATACTCATTTTTTAGTTGTTACTATGAGGGAGTTTATTTGATCGAGTTTTAAACATACGCGCGTTTTTAAGCCGCATGAAAACGATCGCAATTAATCGCGCTGGGAACGAACCCTCAGCCTTTCCTCCCTGGAGAGTTAATCGCCCCCAACTCCCAGCACTCCTATGGCGAGAAGAGGAAACGTTTTGAATGAAGACATATAGCAGAAGGGGAGAATCTCCTCCCTTGAACCAACTTCCAGTGGCTTCTTTTTCAACTACAAAAATGAGCCATGGGCGGGGAGTGATGAAACACTTTGATAGGAAAGGGTCAGACGTGGGCAGAGCGGTAGGCCGCTCTTACAATTTGGGCCCCGGGAAAACCGAACTGATATATCTTTCTCTTATCCCATCGCAAGTCGACACGTGTAATCCAATTCGCTGTACACTTCAAGATTTGTATGCATTATCATTATTTCCCTGTCTTAAGAAACACGCACGAGCCGCGCCTGCAAAGTGTTTCCGCAACCGTCCAGATTGGGGGTGGGGTGGCGCCAACCCTAATTTCTAGATTGGTCTTGCCGCAATCTTGTAGCAAATTTTCGAATAGCTGACTCACTAGCCGACCTCGGCGGCGATAAGGAGCGCGCGTGGTGATGGCAGCGGCGGCGGCGTGTGGGGATCGGAGCCGAAAGGCGGTACACGTGCAGGCGGCGCACGCGAGGACATCGGAAGGGGGGCGTTTGTGGCGGGGGCGGGGAGCGGAGATTTGGGGCAGGGGAAGATGGTAGTGGGAGAAAGGAAGCAGCAGGGAGGCAACATGCGGGAGGAGAAGTATGGATCAAGGGAAGGAGGACACGCCGCATGTGGCAGCCAAAGGTTGATGATCAGCCGGAAGTCTTGAACCTCCATTAAACCATTCACAGAGCAAATATGGATGTGAACAAGATGTCCACTCATTGTTGTACAACTAATGACCTTTAGTGGAGGTTCGAGGTGGAAAGTTTAGTTACTCCCTGTTATCTATCTCCTTTCAAATGACCTAAAGAGGTCAGTAAGATAGCATTATCAAAGAAGCAAGTTATTTTATACAAGCATGTGTCCACCCACCAAATTTGTCTCTTGCAATTATATTGCACAGTATACTCAAAACTTTTGCCCAACGATTTGTAACCTTTGTAGTTCCAGACACAAACACAAACTTCATTATGCATTAACAAATAAAATAAAATAAAATTACACTAAATGTCAGAAGAAAATTTAATATACACAAGTGAAATGAAAAACAACATCTGTATGTAATTTTTTTGTTTGAAAATTATGAAACTTTCTAATAATTTTTCTTAATTTCTAAGACTCTTAATTACTTAAAGAACAAATCACATTACACCTATCTTGTAATTCGAGACATCACAAGCAAAGATACTTACTAACACAGATCCAATGTTGTCAGGGAAAATATCAACAACAAACACATAACTGGCAGTAGCATAAGCGCTAGCCCCTAGGGCTTCCATGCCTCGCACCATGAAGCAATACAAAGTGAATATTTCCAAAGACTCAATATGAGCCAATGTACTGCAAAATATACAAATATAACATTACTTTTTGCCTTGCATGTAAAAATGTAACGATTTTAAATAAATTAATTGCAAAACATATAATTCAATGTCTTTGGGCTATATCATGTTGTTCCATTGACAGGTATTGTGGAACAATGTGAAAATTTCTGATCACAAAACATCATCACTCTTAAACTAGACCTAAATGTATAATTAATGTATCACAACCAAATAAGATAAACTACAATGACACCAATCATTTTGTATAATTAATTTCTCATATATGTAGTAACGATTCTTAATAAGGGAAAAAGTTTGAAATTCATAAACAAAAACAATTTTAAAAAATATTTGGGATGAATGATTTTTTTAACTTACCCAAAAATTATGTTACATCCTCCAGCAACAAACATGCCCGACATAAGCAGGAACTTTGCTCCCACACGAGGTAACTAAAAAAATTGTACCATATCATAAATATATGATCGGTATATTCCCTATAGAACCCTTTATCTAATGTGCAATGTGCAAATAGAACATTTTATTTTATCACTATCTCCACTTCGACATGCAATTAGAAATTAGCAAATCATTCTTGTCTGCATTAACTGCATTTCCACCATTAACATTTGTTGTTGTTGTTGTCGCTGTTGCGCATAGAACTTCTGCATCAATAGAGATTTTAGAGAGAAAGATGGACAACTGTGGTGAAAACATGTGCATAAGTATTTAAATCACAAGTATGAGGTGTTTTAATGACTTTTAATTTTTTTTTGAAACAATATACATAGTACTTCTTTACAGAAAAGATTCAAAGTTGTCAAGAATTAATTATTTCACTAATCAGCAATACATATATAAAGTTAAAGATGATTCCTCTTGAAAAAATATCAATTAATTTCAATAATTTCAAGATAATATTTTCCCCCTACATACAGTTTTTACTGTTTTTTTGACTGAATAAATCTAAATTTTCATTTGTTACTAATGCCCAACTATAGTTCACACATTGCAGTAAACAATGAGTACCACAGGGTGACCATTCTTTTCCTAGAATAAGTTTCCCTAACTTTTCTGAGGCATTTGTTATTTTTCTAGGTAAAAAGCTGATTCCTTTTGAAAAAAATTGTATTAGTTTCAATTTTATTTGCACCTATTTTTCGAACTTAGTTCACACACACTTTTCCTGGAGCAAATATCCCTCACTTCATATATACACGCACATACAATATTAAATAAAAACAAGACTTTCCCCATTTATAAATTTGCTAACATTGTGAGAGAGATTGGCACAAATATTCACATTTCCTCTAATTATCTACATGTCAGCTGCCATGTTCCACAGTAACAAATAAAATTAAAATTAGCTAAACAAATAAAAATTGTGCAAAAAATAATGAAGTAGTAATGTTATTTGCAGAATAATATATATGTTTATAATTAATCTAAAAAATTCTCTGATTTGTAGCAATTCTTCTATAATCGTCCCCTTTTTTTAAACGACAAATATTACCCATTTATTACTCGAAATTTCTCAAAAAGAGCCACCCTGGACAAACCAATTTATTATTGACAAACCTGCAATAAAATGGTATTTTTATCAATGTTATAAATAGAAACATGCAAAAAATCACTTACTATTTTACCAAATAATGGTGATGACAGGAACATAATAAGGGCATAAAAACCAAACACAAATCCTGACAAAGTGTCACTCATGCCCTTTGAAGCTGCCTGAAAATCAAATTACTCTTACGTTTTGTAAAAACAGCATGATTAAGAAATAAATGGTCATTCAAAAACATGCAATACCTCTTTTGGAAAAAAAGGAGCCATCACTGACATAGAGCAAAAACTTGTGAAATCTACAACACAAAGAGCTGTAAGGGCTAATTTCTGGGTGCGGGTAAAACTTCTGAAATCTCCAGATGTGTGAGAATGTGTTCGTAACAAACGCTCTCTAATACGCCGTATTTCTCCAGCTGAATATTTATCTTTTTGGAACACACATAACGACTGGCTGCGAATGTATCTCCTCCCTTTTCCACCTTTCACACTTTTCCGAAATATTTCTTTCCTCCATTGACTATTTCCAAATTCTGACGAGGGGGACGATCGAAAAATCAAAACAGCATCTCCATTTGTTTCGTAGTTTGAACTGTCAAGAGATTTTATTGCGTCTGGAGCTTCACTGGATTCCATACGAAACCTGTGTAGGACAGCATATTAAACAACAAATATTACATACTTTCATGACACATTTACAATAATCGATACACTTCATCTAACCCAACGTTTCTTTTCACTGTTTGGCTATGTATAACGCACACACAAATGACCTATCTTGGCACAGAAGCCTCTATTTATGCATATCTATCTCTGCGGCGTCAAATTGGCTCGATTAACATTATCGGCAATCAACTATCAAAGAGAACTTATTTTCATACATACCTCTTGTGAAATTACATTTACTCAATTAAGTACATAAAACGCTCTTTCTCAGTTAGTCGTAAACAGCATTTCAGAAAATACGTCTAATTAATAACAGTGCACACATATACAACGTAACAACAAAAATACTACAGCTGACTTTGACTTCTCACGCAATGCGCAACGCGCTTGTTCTTGCGCGTCTATAATTTTATGTATTATAAAATAACTTAACAAATTTTGTACAAATAGTATGTGGGACGGGGTATGATAAACACATTTACTTGGAGCAGTTTTTAGAGGCCTTTATTTTATTTAGACGTAAAAATGTTAACACAGTGGTTACCTAGATGTCTAGTCATTAACTGGGAATTCATGTTGTAAATGAATCATTTTGTCAGTATTTGCAATTATACAAGACCGTTCCAGTGGTATAATTTTTTGGGAGAAGCGAATCATGACTTATCATGATTCACATTTTACAATAAACAAAATATTGTTATTCGATATTTCGTACGTATTCGATATCCTTTGATGTATAAACTTCCTGTTTCTGCCCAATTTGATCAAGATACTGCTTCATGAGATTACAGGTGGAATTCTCTGTAAAAAATTCGAATAATGAAATAGAAAATATTAGTGAAATCTGACTTAATGATATTTACAAAGGAATCTGCATGTGCAGGTATCATTCATATTCCGGTTCCCTAAAATCAATAAGTTTGAAATTTGCGCGTTAACGTCATTCACTTGTTCCGCTAGAATATTCTTAACATAGTTAATACTTCCTGTACTCTCAGGGAAGTGTGAGAAAACGATTGGTGATTCAAAAATGTTTATTTTTGTGCGGTTATTGGTACATCGTTTGTTTCAAAATTTCCACTTGCGAATTGCTAAACAGAAGTAAACTTGTTCTATTTATCTAAGGACTTCTATCACAAATGATACGCGTTTGTAATATCTGTATGTACTTTACAGATGAGTGGCTTAACTAAGAAGCCTATGGACTTAATTTAATAGACATCATTCCATTTTGGCAACAATCATCGATACGAAGAACGTTCAAATGTCTGATGCTCGGAAAAAGGGAGTCTGGTTTTCTGTTTCATCGGCCGCCATGATCATCTGTGTGTAGTGCTTGTGAAGTGCTTTAGAGAGCAGCACGTTCAAGTTGCTCGGTGTTCTATTCACAAAACATGGCGTATGGATTGTTGTAAGGCAATAGTGAAATTATGTGTGGAGATTTGGTAGCAATTTGGGACTTCATGTGCGTAGTTATAGTGTAGGGAAAATGTCTTCGCTACACTTCGTTGTTCATCCACTTCCTGGAACGGAAGATCAGCTCAATGACAGGTAAAACATGATCTCCTTATGTCTAGGCAGGGTAGGTAGGTGAGGTGCATAAATTCATGGCCGAAATCAGTCATGAAGGGATATGATGTAATGTCTGAACCCCCCATTTCTGGCTTATTTTGTTCGCCCGATAGAAGGTCTGCCAAATTTTCATTGCGGGCATTTTTAAGGGTAATCTTACCGCATTAGGATACGCCTTAGAATGGACACTTGGGAAATGAACGATTCACTTTTCAGAAGCGGTTAGTTTTGTATTTCCGTGAAATTTCGATTAACGATTACAAAATTTGTCGAGAAATAGTTTGTTTCATTACATTCTCTTTCTATTTGCGTACAGTTACAATGGACTTTATAAATGGTTGCTTAGTCCTCCATGTCGTTGGAACGTAAATCCATTTGAAAATCAACACATTAGGTTGTTTTCGTACATTACGTTAACGTTTGTGGATTGACATTTCTTTTATAGTTTATAGTGCAAAATTGGTGCCATCTAGAATCTCGAGTTGCTTAAACTGTAAAATACAGGAATCACTTTCCATAAAATGTATTCTTTAATTCTAGAGTATCTTATTTACAAGTAATTTAAATTATATATTTATTTTTTAAGTTTTGAACTGTACTTTAATAGCATAGTAACGTGATGGTTAATTAGTGCAGTGTACTGCTGGGAAATAGTGAATTACCGTAATTAAGGGAGAGGTATTTTGACAGTTGCTCTGATTTTTTATTTCAGTTGGATATTTAAGTTTTTGTGTAAAACCGTAGTTTTTTAGGAATACAAACAAATACTCCTTTTGAAGGATAAGGCGGTGTTAAATGCTTGTTTATTTAATTTGCAATTTTTATGCAAGTCAAAGCGTAACTATATTTGTGTTATTTTTGTAAAACATATGTAGGAAATTTTTTGAAGTAAGAATGCGGTTGCATTGATAGAACTAAAGTTAAAAAACTTGGGAATATATAGAAAATGTGCAAAATTCAACAACATAAGACAGTCATGTTTGCATTAATCAAGTTTTGTAGAAATTATGGATTGAAATTTATTCATGATATAATTCATTTTGATAATATGTTTCTTTAAACTTGTGGAAATAAATCCAGTAATACTAGAAAAGTGTTCTTTGCGTTAAAAAAAGAAAGATATTTGAAAAGGGATATTTAAACAAATCCATGGTATTTAACCATTTGATTTTTCTGCATCCACTGATGAGAATCATGAAAAAAATTATTTACAAACTTTAAAACTATAAGTGGTCTTCGTATTGTAAGATGAGTTAGGTTGTTCCAATTTGCTTCTTTGAATGCGTTACTTGCAACCTTTTTGTTCTAAAATATAACTTTTGATTTTATGTATAAAGAAGTAAAGTTAACTCCCAAACAAAATCGTTTGTACTTATATAGAATGGAACAGGCAGCATTGAAAATCAGCATGATGAGTTGAACATTTAGATTAGAAAACTGTGCAGTTAACAACAAACACCTTAGTGTATAGTGTAGAATATTTTGAATGATTTAATGTAAGGGTAATTTTCTTGTTTATGACTAGACTAGTTCAAGGGAAAAAACACACTCTTTGGTAGATCATAGAGCTATTGCAGAAAAAATCATTTCAGTTTGGAAAATAGTGTACAGTTCTTGAAGTAATATAGAATATATAAAAAAGTTAGCATTTGAAGTATGCTGAAAATAAAAATATTAAGAAATGAGTTTTGGCATTGAATTAATAGTAATGATGAACTTACAAAAATGTTTAATGTAGGTATATATTTGTATAATCTTTTTTAAAAATATATCTGGCAAGTTGTCTTGCTTGGATAGAAATGTCATTTGAGAAATGTACATGTATTAGAAAGCTGTAGAAACAAAGGGAAATAATAATAATAAACAATAATACTTATAGAAACTTTTTTTTCAGACTTAAAGAAGTGTCAGATAAGCTGAATCGTTTTGGAGTGGCTACACCTGCAGCTTTAAGTGGTTTGAAAGTACCTGTAAAGAAGATAGTAATCGGACCATCACATTTTGCACTTCTCCTGGAAGATGGCAGAGTTTGCAGAGTTTCATTTTCTATCATCTCAGATCGTTTAGATTTGAGCAAAAATGATCCAACTAAGAGGTAATCTTGTAGTTGTCAGGGGTCTTTCTAAGAAATACAATTAACAGTGTGAAACTTTCAGTGGATCAAGGCAATAAAAAGTATAAAAATTGGATGCTGAAACGTGATCCTTTTCAATGGAATTCCCTATAAAAGTTGTGGTTTCATTATTTACACCAGAGCAGTTACATTAGGAAAAAAAATAATTGTTAATGTAGCATTATTGGAAAAGGAATTCATATTTTTAGAGTGTTATTTGCTTTTTATTGTTTTTGTCATGATTAAAGGTCTGTAATATTTTTTCCCCCACTACTGAAACATAAATGCAAAGTGAGGTACACCTGTGCTGCAGCTGAAAGTAATGGATACAGTTTTTAAAAGCATTTATTGCAATTTATTCAATTTCAGTATCAGCAAGATAGTAGTTGGGTGTTAAAATTGGGATATTTTCTTTTCAGGGTATTTTATGTATGCCATAAGCTTTATCATTTGTTATCCATCTCGGCCACTGTCAGCCACTTCATTAATTGAATGCATATTATGTCGTATTTGCATGAAGAATGTAGAAATAGAAAGTACATTACAAATTGGTGTTTATTCAATTCATGATTCCTTTTTAATAACCAAGACCTTCTTGTGAAAATGTTTTTTGGAGTGTTTAGTGAAGTTTTAAATATGATGTTAAAAATGTTTTCTTGACAATACTATATTTAGAGGAATGTATATTTTCATTGTATTCACATGCTAGTGGTCTACCTTTTAGCTTTTTTCTTTTTAATGTAAAAAGTCAGTCAACTATTTTAAACATGAATTTTAGCTCAAAGAAACAGGAATATACACTTCGTTACTGATACCCACATTGAGCAAAATGTCTATATTTCATTAAAATAAAATTACATCATGTAAGTTCTCATGTACATATTAATGTTCTATAAAACCAATATTATTTTGCATATTTATGCTGGTAGTATTGATAGTAAGGTTTGTTATAGTATTGATAGTAATGCCTATTTATCTCATTTGTTATATTAGCTTTTTAATTTGCCTTGGCTTGGAACAGTTTCCATTTCATAGTATCTCGTGTGAATTCATCGAGGACTTCCAATATTTTTATTTACTGCAGATGACAGATAGCCATTATATTATACAGATTATTGCTCATAATCTACTGACTTTCAGCCACTAAGATACAAGAATGATTTATAAGTATAAAACATGATTCACAAGATTAAAAACAAAGTTTAAACTGATATTGGGCCACACATTGTGCCATTGTTAGTATGTCCTAATAATGTTGAAGTAGAGAGATCATTATCACTTTTGAAAAAATATTGTTTTATAAAAGATAACTTTCAAATAGAAAATTTGAAGTACCTATTTTCAGCAAACCATAACTATTTTGTAATTATTGCAGAGTTCTATGGCATGCTGTGAGTGATTTTTAAACACAATGTCGAGTATTAATATGTATTGTTTTATTTGAATTCCATTCCTTTTTATAAAAAATATGTTTACCAAAGTGTATTTGGTTAATTTGCCCTAATTAAATTCAGTGTAAGTGAAATATTTATTAAAATGCATTGCATGTTTTTTGTAAAGTTTCTTCACATTTTGCATCTTTGATAGACCAGTTTGTCATGTAATGTCAGATCTTAAAGGAAAATTGTGAATACAAAATTTTTATAGTGCATATTATGGTCTATTTTTGAATACTTTTTGTACCTTTTGCCTTCCTAATTTGAATTTTTTTAAGAACTCTCGGAATTGTTCAAGTTTGTTATGTGCTTAAAAAATTAATGGCCCTTATTTTGAAAAATGTTCCAAGGTTAACATTAATAATGCTGTTATTAAATTGTATCTGTAAATGAAAGACATCTTGCATCAACATTTATTACTCGCATTTTTTTTTTATCTCCCTACAAATATTGAGAAAATGAGTTGTCTTACACATATGGAATTCTGTCCATTCTTTCTAGTTGTTTTGGTTACAGTAATATTCCCATTACAATGTATTAAGTCTAAAGAGACGTGCATCGAGTGTTATTGCCTGTCATTTGTAGAATTTTTTCAATGTGTCTGTGTGTACATATGTATTGTCAAAAACAAAAACATGGGCTTTCAGACATGAGGTACAAGATAAGCTAAAGACCCTGTGTGTGTGTGTGTGTGTGGTGTGTGTGTGTGTGTGTGTTGTTGTGTATGCGCATGCATGCATAAAATAACAGCAGTAATAAAAAATGAGCTATTCAGCTATTTAAATTAGGCACTACATACGTTAGTGAATCTGCACAAACATCAGTTTCAGTCTGTTCTTGATAAAAATCAATGGACATCAACAATCATCTTGTACAAAATACTATTGGATTGAGTTTTGTCATTTGACATGGGATCAAAAGGCTTGTATCATCATATACGTCTCATAACAGTAAATACAGTGGAAATTGACAGCAAATGATAGGATACTTCATATTCTTTAAAACTGCGCAAAATAAAATTGAGGATAATTGTCCGAATACCTAAACTCTGCAACTGAAATGATGCTGACAGATAATCAATTTCTATATCACACTGATGATTCCAGTGTCCCTGTAATGAAGTTATTTCGCAAACCTCTGCTGATATTGTTCCAAGTCATGGTGACTAATGCATATTCCAGTTTAGATCTAACAATAGTAAAGAACAATATATTCTTCCTCCCCAGTTGCATGGGGAATCTTAAGTGTTCTGTTAACTTTTAGCACCAGTTCCTTGACATGAAGTCTAATTGACAATTACCTAACAAAAAGACCTACAAAATCTTGACTTAATTCACAGATTCTAGAACTTTCTTATTAATTGTTTACTGAAAATGTATTTTATTAGACCTGCTGTATGACAATACTATTCAATAACTAGCATTAAGAGTATTGTGACACCATTTTTATAAGAAATAATTAAGTTGCCTTGAAGATTGACACAGTCATTTATAAAAGAAGCAGGTGAAAACAATTTAATATCAGCCAAGACAGAATGGTACACAACTGACCACTATTGATATAATTCATCACAATTGTAAAGATTAAGGTTCCTAGATTAGAAACGTGCGGAACTCTATAAGGGAGGGAAAGTTTCATAATTGTACCCTATATAATGACTTCTAATTTTGTAAAATCTAAATTAGGATATATAAAGCCTCAAATAGTTTTCGAGAATATAAGTTCACTCAATATCATGTTAACTTTATCAATCTGCTACCTATTAGATTAGGACATCTACTTTTCAATATCCATGATAAATATCAGTAATGTGGGTTAAAAGCTCTAAATAAAATACTATAAATGTATTCCAAGTATTTTAGAAAAGTTGCATAGTAACAACATTGCTTGATAATTTTCAGTAATAATACTACGATCAACCATCTTTAAAAGGGTTGTAATTTTGTAGATTTCCATGTTAGGAAACACACCCAGAGTACAAACAAAGATAAATGATAGTAGCACAGGAGTTTATAGCAGTGCCTTCGAGAGGTATTTAAGAAGAATTGAAGGATCATCTGATCCAGATTTTAATTTATCAGGCATTTTCTTCAATTTTCTCTAAACAGATTCATTGTCAACACATAACATTCACCAAATAATCTGGAGCAATAGAGAAAATTATTTAAATTTGCAAAAAGATGCTAGGCAATTTAAAATTTAAAAAAATTGTTTATATTGATGGTTGGGTCAGAGGATGTAATGCTGTTGTACAACAAGCACCCTGGAATTTAAATTTGTTTCACATTTCTTGTGCTAAATGTTTTATAAAATTCAGATGCGTCAGGAGGATTAAATGAGAGAAGGTAGAGAGTGATGTTTTTTATTTATAGGTTCCAATAGGTTCTTTTGAAAATAAAATATATAAACTCTGGGCTGAAGTCTAATATATGGTACAACTTACGGAAGTCGTTTAAACCGGCACTTTGCGCCGCTCTGGCGGCAACTGCGCAGGATGAATTCTGGAGGCTTTCCTTTTTTATATAAGTGAATTGCTAATTACTAGGTGGATAGACTTAAAAGATGTTTGTAGTGAATGCGAGGGCCGAATACCTAAGCCTTGCCGTGACATGTGGGCGAGCAAAGCGAGAAAAACTGCCTTCGAAAGTAAAATGGCATTACAATGCAGTGGGGACAAAGTATATGAAGGATGGGCCATGAAAATCGCTTATCCATAAGTTTTATTTATTTCTATCAAAGCATGTAGTGTAATTTGAGGGAGGGCTTAAGGAGACTCCTACCCTTCCCCACCACAGAGCTTCTCTGAGGGTGTACCGTGTACCCTACTTTAACCAACTGTAAATTAACAAAATTAGAATTGAAAAGTTGCTGAAACTGTTAAAAAATGGTAATTTTTGAGTTAACATCTTGCTACCTTCAATCCCTCAGCCGATTTTGCCTTTCGTGATTTGGATCATGCTATACGTGTTTGAAGGCCCTTTAACTGAATGGAGGAACTCCTCTCTGCCACAACTTAGTGCAGACAAATTAATGTTGAATTTGTGTTTGCAACTCAAAAATAATTCATTTATAATATGTTTTTTGTGTTTCACCTATGTATTTTAATTGACTATACACATATTATGTAATTGTGTTATTTTGTTTGCATTAATGGACATAACTTATCATGGGCTAGAAGATTGTTTCTGCCGGCTTGTTTCTGTGCCGAATTTATTCTTATTTACACAAGTTACTTGCACTGTCAGTGCACTTTCATTCTTAAAGAAAGTAAATGTTTTATTTGTTACAGAACATACATATATTATTTCTGAGTATATTCTTCTATCCAATGTTCACCTCCCTTGTTACAGGTCAAAAGCTTGATGTTTTGCTCTAACCTCATAGTATTTTATTCCAAAAAATAGTACCTCTCAGCAATTCTATTTTGAAATAATGGATATGGGTGAATACATTGTTTGCAAGACTGCGAAGTATAAATCTCAGAGCACTTAAAACTTGTTTTAATAGCCTCCCTGTGCTGATATTGACATTGTGACATCTTGATCG